CGATTTTATCAATCGGGGAAAACCCAAACCCGAACCCGAACCCGATAAACACGGGTTTTCCCCATCCAAATCGGGGCGGGTTCAGGCGGGTACCCACGGGGGCGGGTTAGATTGCCATGCCTACTTGGAAATGAGAGTCTCTGGCTGGCCCTCGCTGGACGTGACTTGAACTGCGCTGGACGCGATGACAGTTGTGGCATATTTTGGGTTATCTGGTGCTGCGTTGGGCGCGAGTTTTGTCGCGCTGGGCGCGGAGACCCCTTGGGGGTCTCTGCCAGAGGGGGCGCCGGGCATAATTTGAAATTGCGCTGGGCGCGAGACCTTGGTAGGTCTCTGCCTTTCCCACGCTGGGCGCGGGTTAGGCCACGTCGGGCGCATGAGACCCCTTGAGTCTCTACCTGACATGCGCTGGGCGCAATTGGGTATTGTGTCAAGCGCGAGAGAGCCTTGGACTCTCTGGTTGAGGTACGCCGGGCGTGAGCACGCTTGCGCCGGGCGCGCTAGCCCCTGGTGCATCTGGATGTGCCACACCGGGCGCAACCATGGGTGCGCCGAGCGCGTATGAAGATGTTGATTTGATGTACAATTAGCGGTTAAACTTTGCTGAATTAGCCGAGAGAGGTGGTTTTATGCTGAACTAGCTAAATTTGATGTTATTACTGTGCTAAGCTAGCTGTTATTGATGAGTTTAAATGTTGTATTATATGATATTGCTGTGCTCTAGAATGATGAGCTGAGGTGTGAGTAGTAAGCTGTGTTGAATACTACTTAGTTGTGCTGTATGCTGAATTGCTGTGTTGTGCTGTGCTGTGAGCTGTTTTGCTACGCTGTTTATTGTTGAGCTGTATGCTGTTATAGCTGCTATGTCGGTGCTGTTAGCCACTATTGTGGTGCTGTTATAGTCGCTATGTCGGTGCTGTTAACCACTATTGTGGTGCTGTTATAGCCGCTAAGCGGTGCTGATATTGCTGAATTGCTGTGGTGTAGTATAAGCTGTGCGGGTGTGCTGATAGCTGTAGATGTTTCCATTCATATATTTATATGTGTATGTTGATTTCTTTACACTAGCTTACCCTTTGTTGTCTTCATGATGTTTGGACTGCAATGTTCATACTATGTATGGAAGCAGAGCAGGGATAGGTTGGTGGCTGGCGTAGGGTCTGTAGCTGGCAGACGGAGCTGATCTATTTTGATGTTTTGTTGTTTAGCTACTGGGTGTAGTAGCTTTGATGTATTTTTGTTGTACACTCTAACTCTAGTCGGATTTGAGACCTTGTATATACATATATTCTAGATCCTATATTATATACTTGTTCTATCTGCCTGATGTTTCCAGTGTGCTGTGCCATGTGTAGTGACCAGCTCGATCGTTACAATTATCACACTCATTTTTATCAATTATCTTTAGAGGCGTTTTTATTTTATTTTATTTATAAAAAACGCCAACTTTTAATAGTTATGACTTTCGTTTTTATTTATAAGAAGATACATGAATCTTAATTAGAAAAAATAATATAATTTATTTATAGAAGAAATAAATAAAAATAAAATATATTTATTATTATTTTTTAAAAGAATAAATTTAACACATCTAATTTAAAATAAATTTATTATCACCAATTAAATTAATTATTTTTTAATTCTAATGAATTAGATAATAAGATGTTTTATATAAAATTGGATGTACTAATTTAATAAAATTATTTTTTTTGAAAAGACAAATTTGTTAATATATATATATAATTTATTTTATTATTTTTTTTGAAGATTAAATTAAAGTTTGATATGGGTGCAAATGGTAGAGGCACGGCAACCGCACCCAGCTAACACACTACATAAGAAGAAGAACGTTATCGTGTGAGAAATAAACTACTGCATCACTTCCATTTCTTCGGAAAGCACACAAATTATCACTGCAATCAACTACAATACAATGCAGCGAGCCCTCGTTGCATCTCCTCTCTCACTCTCAACCCGCTCTTTCTTCCTTCCCCTCCCTCTCTGCCTCTCGCGCCC